AAAAAAAAAGAAGAATTGTAAAACACTTTGAATTTGAAGGGGGGCGTGGGGCCTCCGTTGGCGGGGCTCCGTTGGCGGGGCTCCGTTGGCGGGGCTCCGTTGGCGGGGCGCAGCGCCCCTCCAAGACAATGGTAGGGGAAACACTGTATGCTCTGATCACACAGAGAGTCGCAAGTAGCTATTGCCTGAGATCTCATGATGTGGTTTTGTTACATGTGCCAAGTGCTAGGACTGTCTTAGGGACGAAAGCTTTTATGTGCGCAGCTCCTCTAGCTTGGAACAGTCTGCAAAAAGAATGGAAAATTAGTAATTTGGTTCCACTGCATGTTTTTAAAGCTCGGATAGATGCTTTACAATCTGATACTGTTGGTACTTGTCAATGTCGATAGCTATGTAATGTGGCCCTGTAACTTTGCTGTATGATGTCCTCTATTGTTTTCTGTTGTTTTATGTCTTCATGTGGAACCTACTTGCTGCAGGTCTCCCTTGAAAAAGAGATCAATGACCTCAATAGGCGCGTTCACACCGGAGTACTTTTCCCACAATAGTTCATCAGAACTACGATATATTTGCGTTCACACCAAAAAGCCCCAGGAACTAAAGTAGTTCAAATTAGTTCGTCCGACCCGCTTTTCAGTCCCTGCTAGAGAGCAGGGACTGTCGTGGGAGAAATAGTTCATACGTCTGATTGGCTGTGCGGAATGCAAACCACGCCCATTTTTTTTGTAAGCGGCCATTGTATTTGCTCTTCGGCCAGCGCAACCCGAAGAGATTACTTTTGTGAAAGCAGTTATTATAGCAACACTAAATAAATCATCGGAGCGGTGGAGTGATGAGGATGTGTCGGCGCTTCCAGCAATTTACTCGGAGGACGCGAAGCGCCGCATTCGGAAGCTTCTACTGAATGCAGTTTCCGTGGCTCAGCAAAGTTAGCAGACCTGGCAAAGTCATGTCGGGACGACTACGAAGGTAAAATAAAATACATGCACTGCACTGTTTTAATCTGCACAATACTGGTCTTAGATGTACTTTTATTTGCTCAGTAGATCGAGCTAGCTATGCTAGAACTTGCTATCATAGGTCCAAGCTGGCTAACAACATCTAGCTAGCTAGCTATTCTCAGCCGTGCCCGCTATGAACACGTTTTGACTTGTGAATAAGTGTGCAATGTTCTGTAATTTGCTTCACTAACTCATGGCACTAAATCGTGTGTTTCAGGCGAGGTGTTTCTCTCAGGATTAGAAACTAGTTTCCCCTCCGGGATAAAACGATAATGTAACGTTAGGAATTAGCATGCTAGCTGGGACATAATGCTACCTCTAACAATACATTGTAGTTGCTATAATTTCAAGTCATTTGCAACATTCATTCTACATGTTAATGGTAAAAGCTTAAACAGTTGATTACCTGCATGCCACAAAGACTGATGTTCTAATATTTTTGCACATTTAAGTAGAAATGTAATTGAAATTCTATTTATTTTTCCTTTTTTTTATTGATTGTTATAATTGTACTCAGCCATGTTATGTTAGATGTCAATCCACTTACACTGTAACTACTCTGGCCTTGAAAGAAGGTTACACATCTAACTGATGTCCACTAATCCCTATAAAACAAAGTTCAAGCATACATTAAGCACAAAACAATAAATAAGGGCACTTTGATATTTATTTTTATTTGATATTATTTGATCCTATCTTATCTTCTACTTTACACCTGCATTTGTACACTGTCCCTGCCTGCACCATGTCCAATGTTGGACAATGTTGTCTCGTTGTTGCGATTAAACTCATCTTGTATCTTGCTTATTTCACCTTAGGAAAGCGGGCACGGGATGACAGCTTCCTTGACACCATCATGGCGATGGACCGCCGTGCCATGGTCAGCAAGGAGAATGAGGACCTGCGTGCCAAGGAGATGCAGGACGAACGGCTGCTGCATTCACACAAGGCCCAGGAATCGGACGACCAGCTGCTCATGGTGATGCAGCGCCATGCTGACTCGGCGGCGCGCCAGGTGGAGGTGTCGGCACGCCAGGTGGAGCAACAAAATACCTTTCAGGCTGGGCTTCTGGCAGTGCAAAGCGAGCTGATTAAATCCAACAGGCCTTCAATAAATAAATTAAGAAAAACTTGTCGTCATTGATAAACTGTACAATGACTTGTTGGGAGGCGTGTGGTGCAGTGGTCTGGTGCGTTGGTGTTCGGATCAGGGGAGCACAGGTTCAAACCCCACTGCAGTCAGCATGTCGTTGTGTCCCTGGGCAAGACACTTCACCCAAAATTGCCTACACCTGGGACAGTTAATTTTGTATTATTGTGATTATATATATATGCCACTGTTATTAATACTGACACTTCACTTTGCACTAAGGTGTGTCTGCTGCTGAGCCTATCTAGCCTATCTATATATATATATATATATTAGGGCTGTCAGTCGATTAAAATATTTAATCGCATGATTGTCCATAGTTAATCGCGATTAATCGCAAATTAATCGCACATTTTTTATCTGTTCTAAATGTACCTTAGAGGGATATTTTTCAAGTTTGTAATACTCTTATCAACATATGAGTGGACAAATATGCTTTATATGTTTGTTTATTATCATTTGAACAATGACGGGCGGCCGAGGACAAAGAATACACATGCGTTAATCGCGTTAAAATAATTAGTGACGTTAATTTGTTTTTGCGTTAACGCGTTATTAACGCGTTATTAACGCGTTAACTTGACAGCCCTAATATATATATATGTTTTGATACTACTGACACTTTATTGATATTGAAAATGTTAACTTCTATTTACATGCATACGACACACCTGGGACAGCGTGATGCTGTTATTGATATTGTCTTGAGTGTGCAATAAAAGAGAACCTACATGGCGATTACACGGAGCCTGTATCTTACATTTTTCATTACATTTCATGCAACTAAGCTTGCTTATTATTCTGATACCATCATGTTTCATCGGTTAGAAACTGGCGAAGCTTTATTTATTGTGGCTTTCAAAAAGATAATTTCATTGTATTTCAAAATGGCGTCCAACACAAGCACTATTTATTTATAGAAAGAGAAATGGTTAAGTTTGTTATTACCAGTGTTGTGAGTTCAATCTTTTTTATTAATTATAGTAAGGGAACATCTTAGGAGTTAATGTAGTGAGTTTCAGAGCAGTGTAATAATTATTTGACCTAAAACTAAATGTTTTTATGAACATGACATGGGGATTTGCTAACTTTTGATTTCCCCCATTTTACACGACACAAATGGAGGCCACTATGGGCCACAACTAACACGTAGGTTTCTGTAGGGTTCATGGCAGACGGATGCAGTTGCTCTCAGGAGGATATATAATAAAGGTGTGTTAGCTGCTGAGCCTATTTAGTGTGCATACGACACACCTGGCACAGTTTATTCATTTCACACGTAGCGTAGCGCGTGCATGTCGCCGTCCAATCCTTTTGTCAATCCGTCTTAACCGCCTTCGCTTCCGAATCAGCATTGCTATTGCATTTGACTGGTCGACGATCTGTATTTGTGTTTGCTTAAATAAGGCAGACGAAGCTCATGTCTGAGGTCGGAAGGTAAACAGACGCCTCATTTACAGCAAGTGGGCGCGGGAGGTTTTTCTTCTTCTTTTTCTCTCGGTTTTTTGGCGGATTGCAACTTTAAGGTGCATACCGCCACCTACTGTACTTGCCGTGAAGTTGTTTGCGGCCTGCCAGTAAACCCAAAGCAGAGAAAGAAGAAGTGACGTCAGCGGTTCATTTGCCTAATCCACTCCCAGGAACTCATTTTGGTGTGAACGCAATCTGCTTTAGTTCATCAGAACTAAAAGAGCTCTCATGAACTATTGTGGGAAAAGTACTTGGTGTGAACGCGCCTAATGGGATTCACCTGGTTAGATAAAGGTTTGAAATTAAATAAATAATCAGTGAATCACAAAAGTAGTTTAACAAATAAACAAATAAATAAAATCAGTTTGAATTCAATAAAATAATTTCCTAATTCAATACGATAATACACAATTTATTATTTACTTTTAAATCACATCATTTATAAAATAAATACAACACTTATATTTTTTTTTATGAAATGTGTAAATCTGACATATTTTTTAATCAATTAAATTTGTTTTAAATTGAATTATTTTGTTTTGTTTTTCAAATCACATTTTAATATATTACATTTGTTTATGAATGAATTAACTCATTGATATCGGGTTCAGGAGTCATTTTGCTGACTCATGTTAACGGAGAGGAGACGCCATCTTATCTTCTCTGATATCAGTATTAGGATGCAGCAGCAGAGACCTGGACCTGGACCTGAAGCTGGACCTGAAGCTGGACCTGAAGCTGAACCTGGACCTGGACCTGGACCTGAAGCTGAACCTGGACCTGGACCTGAAGCTGGACCTGGACCTGAAGCTGGACCTGAACCTCGACCTGAAGCTGGACCTGGACCTGGACCTGAAGATGGACCTGAACCTGGACCTGGATCCAGCTGTGTGTCCATGAAGAGTGACGGGTCTATGGATCCCCCTCTTACCTTTAAATCTGGACGTCCTGCAGAGGGAAGGTGAGAATGTAAAAGTGTGTAACGTGATCAGCTCCTTTCTGAGGAGTTCAGAGTTCTTCTTCTCCCGGACGCTGGGACATTGTTCTGTTAGCTCTTTGGTTCTTCTAACTTACTCCATCTTTTCAGAGATGTTTATTTTATTCTTGTGTTGTTGTTGTTGTGTGGTTGTTTTATCTCTGCTAGAAGTCAGATGTCCTCTAGAGGGACGCTAAAGAAGAACTGGACATCTGAAACTGATGTGAAGCTAATGAAAGAGCAAACTGATCCATGAACTGGAACCAGAGAGAATCTGCTATAACTCACTTTGTTCACTTTTACTTGTTTGTATCAGGAAGCAGCGGAAGAAGAAGAGACCTAAACCTAAACCTAAACCTGGACCTGAAGATGACCTGGACCTGAAGCTGAACCTGGACCTGGACCTGGACCTGGACCTGAAGCTGGACCTGAAGCTGGACCTGGACCTGTACCTGAAGATGGACCTGCAGATGGACCTGGATCCAGCTGTGTGTCCATGAAGAGTGACGGGTCTATGAGTTCCCCTCTTGACTTTAAATCTGGACGTCCTGCAGAGGGAAGGTGAGAATGTAAAAGTGTGTCACGTGATCAGCTTCTTTCTCCCGGACGCTGGGACATTGTTCTGTTAGCTCTTTGGTTCTTCTAACTTACTCCATCTTTTCAGAGAGGTTTCTTTTATTCTTGTGTTGTTGTTGTTGTTGTGTTGTTGTTTTTTCTCTGCTAGAAGTCAGATGTCCTCTCGTGGGACGCTAAAGAAGAACTGGACATCTGAACTGATGTGAAGCTAAAGAAAGAGCAACTGATCCATGAACTGGAACCAGAGAGAATCTGCTATAACTAACTTTGTTCACTTTGACTTGTTTGTATCAGGAAGCAGCGGAAGAGACCTAGACCTGGACCTGAACCTGGACCAGAACCTGGACCAGAACCTGGACCTGCAGATGGACCTGAAGATGGACCTGGACCCAGCTGTGTGTCCATGAAGAGTGGCTGGTCTATGGATCACCCTATTGTCTTTAAATCTGGACTTCCTGCAGAGAGAAGGTATGAAATTGAAAACTGGACTATCTTCTGACTCTCAGACTCAGAAAGTGGTCCCACTGCGCGACGTTTGCAGCGTTAGCCTGTTGAAAATGTGAGCTTGATCATAAATCCAATAAAATGAAGTGCACAAAGATGAATTCTTCTTTATTTGTATCAGGATCCAGAGACCTGGACCTGGACCTGGACCTGGATCCAGCTGTGTGTCCATGAAGAGTGACTTTTCTATGCAGTCTCCTCTTTACTTTAAAGCTGGACAAAGTGCTGATGAAAGGTAAAGAATTTCAAACTGGACTCTGTTACTATCTGACTCTCTTTGGAGAAGAGTAAATCCTGCTCCAGCCTCCAACGTACCTCTCTTGAGTTGGTTTCTAATTACTTCTATTTATATTATGAATCATATAATGAGCAAAGACAGATGACTCTACCAAATTAAGACATTAATCATGGACTGTTTTAGACGACCCCCCCCCCCCTTCTGTTTGACGGCAGGCAGCGAGCTGTTAATGGCATGAAGGGCGGCGTGAGGTGTCTGGTGGTTTTATTACTCTGTTCTTTATCAGTCTCAGGATCCAGCAGCAGAGACCTGGACCTGGACCTGGACCCCGCTGTGAGTCCATGAAGAGTGACTTTTCTATGCAGTCTCCTATGAACTTTAAAGCTGGACAAAAGTGCTGATGAAAGGTAAGAATTTCAAACTGGACTCTGTTACTATCTGACTCTCTTGGAGAAGGCACCACAGATTGGTTCAGATCAGGCTCCAGATATAATGGGGCTTTCTGTTCCTTGCACCATCAGCTGCTGTGAGGCTTCTGATGGTCGGACGCTTTCAGGCCTCAGTAATATTGGTGTTTTATAACCCCCCCCCCTCCACCTGCTGAGCCACAGCTACCCTGTTATTCTGTCTTCATCTCAGAACACCTTCAGTCAGCTGTGTGGCAGATTAGAGTCTTTAAATGTTCTGGATGTTTTCTCCACAGAGTTCTGCAGGAGTTCTCCGAGGTTCCCGGTGATCAGTCTGCCCCGAAGCATCACACTGACCTGGACTCCATATTTATGGTGTGTACATACATTTACTATGAACTACAGATGATCTACCATTCAGGTCCTGACAGTGTCCATGCTGCTCTGTTTAGACCAGCAGGCCTTCAGACGGACAGATGATCACATGTTGTCTTCTTTAAATTCCAGGGTTCATACAGTCATTAAAAACCTGGAAAGGTCATGGAAATTTAAAATGCAAATTCCAGGCCCTGGAAAAGCTATGGAAAACAATATTTTTCCCAAAGTTTTGAAAAAGTCAAGAAAATGTAACTAAAGTTGTATCAAATATAATTTATATTTTATCTAATCGCCGAAATAGTAATACTATAATGATAATACATACTGTATCGTATAGTAAGGAAACGTAAAATGGCATTTAACTTGAGGTATTTCGCTGGTGAGAGATGTTTACGATCACGCTGTGAGCCTCTCCCTCACACAGGGTTCAAAGAGGGACGGAAAGAGCAGTTTATTAGCACCAAAACAAAGTACACACACGAGTTGTAAAACGTTGCCCGTGTGGGATCCTTCACAGGTCCTTGGCGACCTTCCAGGATCCCGCCTACTGCAAGACTGACCAGAACCAGGTTACCACATGCTTTTATTCAGTGACTGATTACCTTGATTTCCGATCAGCTGTCTGGCCTCCGGCCGAGCCACTCCCTTCACTCCAGCAGCCGGCGCCCTAACCACACCCCTAACCACATACTCCCCACCGCCCGACTCAGGCCGGGATCCCGCCAGCCGCAAGCTGACTGACCGGATCTGAAGGCAAGGCAATTTTATTTATATAGCACTTTTCAGCACGTGGCGATTCAAAGTGCTTTACAAAATAAAAACAAAAGACATTTAAAAACAAATACAGCATAAATACATTATTAAATGGCATTTAAAAACTTGAAGCACCCTTTCGGGCAGGTCGGTCATGTGGTCAGCTCCGAAAAGGACGGGATGAACCGCCTGTAGTAGCCGGCCAGCCCCATGAACCTCCTGACCTCTTTTTTCGTCTTGGGCGCCAGACAGGCTGAAAATGGCGGTTGTTTTCTCTATCTGTGGCCGCACCTTCCCGCCGCCCAAGTGGTACCCCAGATACCGTACCTCCCTCCGTCCAACAGGCACACTTCTTCGGCTTGGCCGTGAGCCCCGCCTGCCTCAGGGACTCGAGCACTGCCCCCACCTGCTGCATATGCTGCTCCCACGTCTCACTGTGAATGATGACATCATCCAAGTAAGCAGCAGCATATGCAGAGTGGGGACGCAGCCACCACGGTCCATGAGCCGCTGGAAGGTGGCTGGAGCTCTGAACAACCCGAAAGGAAGTGTGATAAATTGATACAAACCATACGGAGTGGAGAAGGCCGGTTTTTTCCTTAGACTCTGGAGAAAGGGGAATCTGCCAATAGCCCTTGGTTAAATCCAGCGTCGCGTAATAAGCGAGCAGTGCCTAGCCGATCCAGGAGTTCATCGACACGGGGCATTGGATAAGCATAGAATTTGGACACCTCGTTCACCCTGCGGTAGTCCACA